GGATGAAAATTCCAGTCATAAAAGACCAGGCTCCTACCTCTCTGAACGGGGACATTTAAACCTCAAACTCAAAGCCAAAGGCATGTTTCTAAAACGTATTTGAAATTACTGAATCTGGCAAAAACAGCTACTGCGCATCTCTCTACACTGAGCGACTGTGACTTTATCAGCAAATCGACTGGCTCTTTTTACCAAAGGATGGGACTTTCTTTGTAAAAAAAAAAACGCCAAGTTGACTGTTAGGCTATGAGCTTTTCCATTCATTTTCCAACCAGTGACCTGTCTCCTCCTTTATGATGTCTCTGCTTAAACCTAATGTGTCACACTTGTCCATAAAATAGATGTGCCACAAAATATAAAAAAATAAAATAAACACAAAGCTCTAGCAGTCATCTTGAAACCTGAATTTTATCCACACTTTTGCCCATTTCTTTTGTCACAATCTAAGAAACAACATATTCAGGTCTATTACAAATTACTTAACAACTTAAGATGATTTTAAGGTAAGTGTATCATGATTTAGGCATGCTTATACAAACTTGAGACACCAAACATGTCTTGGCTGACCAAGTACATTAGACGTAAGAGTGGAAAACTGTGTGCGATGCTTTTTGTTTGGTTTTCCTTTAAAGCCAGTCCCCAGTGCTGTTCTTTCTGTGCCTATACTGCAGTGTCATCAGCTTTAATAGGGAACACACCACTCCAGCTCCCCTGCAGCACATCTGCCATGCTGGCTGGAGCGAATCCTGCCCCCCCCCCACAGCGCTCCTTACAGTACTCATCAGTGCCTGTAAACTAAAGAATAACTCAAGCCCCAAGCCTAAATATTCAGTAAATACAGTTGCACAAGTTGAACAAAAAGCAGATGAGAGGAGGTGCATCGCGGCTTGTTTTCTTTTCATGAGAACACAAATGAGCATAACTAGAATTTGGATAGATAACAGAGAGCGCTCAGCTCTGCATGTTTAGCTTGGCTGTGGCTGAGGGCTCTGCTTTGCTCTTGGCTCAACTGGGACGAGACAACAGCCGCAGTGTTGGGGAGCAGCTTGGAGCAGCAGAGTTTGAGTTACTGGGGGGCGGGGGTTTGTATGAGAGAGAGGGATAGAGAAAAAGAGAGAGAGTGCAAGTGAGGGCGAGAGAGATCGCCTGAGGTTCACAATTCAGTCTGAGTCTGTACACGAATGTTCAGCAGGGACAAAATGAATGTTGCACAGTGCAATTAAATGTAATGACGCACATCCACTCCCCTATATACCTGCAGTTTAATGTACACTTTAGCTTGGTTTCTTTTTGACCATAACCTAGGGATGGACAACAGGACATTTTAGTCAAATTCAAGATTCAAATTTGTAAGGCATGATTATTAAAAACATCCAAAACAACCACAGAACACAGGTTACAGGCTACACCATACACTGAACTCATCAGGCAGACAAAACACAGTGCACAGCATTAAAAAAAAACCGCACAGACTCAATACAAGACCCCAAAACTATAGTAAATCAACTATAGAGATATATAAAGATCAAACAGACATGGTAGGTTTCTATTTCTACCTCAGCCAACATTACTATCCTAATCATATTTCACCTCAGACCTTTTAGCTGGAAACAGCATGTATGTTAAGATTTAGCTGATACCAAATATGACAAATTCACTAAAAGATGTTAAAAGTCTTATTCCATTAAATCTATACAAGCAGAGCGTAAAATGAGGTTAATCTTATTTATTCGTGTTTTTCTGCAACTGCTATATTTGCATTTTTTACTCTCTGCTAGCCAGTGCGAGAGCGATTCCTCTTCTCCAGTGTGTGGTAGCTTTTAGACAGATAAGAATATGCTCTGGCAGAGTACAGAGTACACATGGCTGGCAGAACAGAATTGGCAGTTTGCTTTCTCGTCCAAGGGTGCTGAGCTATATAATGACATTACATTAGGCAGGGCAATACGACAAATACATCATTATGGTGACACATTATGTCACATTACAACACAATGTGCTTTTCTGACCATATCGTGGATACCGTCAGTACTTGCAGAACACTGACCAACTGCATGTTTCATTATAAAGAGAGTAAAATTTGTCATGTTTAACTGGATTTAGCGCAACATAGTATGTTGAATATTGAAAAAAAAAAAATTTATTCATAGTCTTTTAAAGTATTTTTTAATTGTACCACTACTAGTTCTTTTTCTTTGTTCCAACTGACCGATATCTAAATAAATATTTCTTAAAGTATCACAATATTATTTTTTTCCCATATCAACCAGCATTCAGTAATATTTGTTTATCTGAGCTTGAGCTGTTTCTGTTGAAAGCTACTATGCGTCAACAGCTGGGAGGAAAGATAGTAATTTATCCAATCTGGGTACTTTAGGCTTGTACTCTAAGGCAAATTAATTGCCTTTTAAAAACGACAATCAAGTTAATTGGTAATTATACAAGTTATATAGCAATTAGCTTCATGATCATGACAGACCTAAACATGTCTAACAAACTTGCCGTCTACCATAAGTGCAAGTCATCCCATGTTTGACAAGCAAGGTTAACCATTACAAATCATTCAAAGAGTGGGACAAAAGCTACAAGATGACCAGACCAAAATCTCATGACAGTTACAGTGCAAGAAAACCATAAAAGGTACCGTTACCAATCAGTTCAAACTAATCTTGAAGCAACAGTGATTTAAAAACTCTTTTCATGCCAAATCTGCTCCTTTTTAAATCTTTACACTTCAGCTGCGTCTTTCTGTTTCTGGTCAAGCTGTTGTGTAATTCAATTAGTTCTATTTACTCTGCCTGAAAAAGCGCTGGCTCTCACTTATCATTGAGGTTATCATTTAAACACCAGAGCTACTGATCACATGTTGAAAACACAATCAGTGTTATCAGTAACTGTCAATATTAACTTCAAATGCTTATCTTTATGGCTAGTTATCTTCATTATATGGCCAGCCAGCCAACTCTGTTAGTTTAAGCCAACAGTGTAGGTAAACGTCACCTAATGCCAAAGTCAATGTGCTACACTCGGCTGTCCCTCCTCCCCCCGGATCTCTGCTAATGCTTATTCCCTTTTAGTTAAATCGAAATTCTAAAACCTCAGTAGGTGACCAGTCAACCATGCCAGGTAGATGTTCGTATGAGATGAACATAAGCTCCTGACACCCCAGTGCGGATTATAACAGCATCTGTTTGTTGTCGCAGGTTGACGCAGACACAGAAGTGCGAGTTCCACACAGAAAAAAAGGTTCACCTTCAGTTCACTGCTGAGACAGAACAGCTTAAATGAAACCATCAGAATATGTGCAGTAATGTGCTAAAGTCAGAGACCTTTAATTAGAGTCAAAACAGCCATTAAGCACAAGGAAAACATTTAACAGCAAATTACACAGAAGCCTCAACAACTAAATGTGTCATATTTTCAGTATTTATGTCATCCACACTTTGCCTTTATTACAGCTTCAATTCTTTTCAACAAAATTTGCAAAGGTATTTTTCCACACCTCCAAAGTACAGTTGAACAGATGTTCTTTTCTGTCTGTTCCCTTTTATCAGTAACGGCTACTCAACAGTTAAATCTTTCAGACTCTCAGTGCTGAACTGTCTTCTCACAGTGGAAGGATGGACAGAAACAGCTGTGGATTTTTTCAGATCAGAACAAAGAGCGAAGCTTGATTTTCTCCTCTCTCAAAGATGAAAGCTCCAAGTCAGGGCTGCCCAATCCTGGTCCTGGAGATCGACCAACCTAGAGAGTCCAGATCCAACAGACCAGGATCTAATATTTAGATACGGCTGAAGGCCTTTGTTACCTGGATCAGGTGTGCTAGATGTGGGATGGAGCTGAACTCTGCAGGGTGGTAGATCTCCATGACCATGACTGAGCACCCCTGTTTTAACCATTGTTTATCTGAAGGTGACAGTCGCACGGCTGCTCGGTAACAAAACTTGAGTTTTGGAAATTCCTGTTTTCCCCCTTATTTTCCCTTTGCTTTTTACTAATGCAAGTGGATTATTCTATATTTAATCTCCTCAGAAATGCCATTTAAAATACAGATGACTAACTGACTGGCCGTTTTGACTGGAAAAATTAAGGGTGAACTCAATACTGTATGTGTACACATGCGTTGAATTTTCAGCATGCTGTTAAAAACTAAGCTAAGTCAATAAGTGCCAAGTGCATGAGAGATAAATCATAATCAAACACTAAAATAGAATATTACACAGCATCCCAGTACGTGTAAACTGGTTACAAATCTACTTTCATAATGTTCTCCTTTCACAACCATAAAGCACCCATGGATTATTAAAAGGGAGCAATTTCATTCATAAAATCAAAGGCCATAACCACAGCTAAAACAACAACAACTTCCAAAGAGATTAAGACCCAGTAAAAATTTACACAATACTATCCTACTAGCCTTTTAACATCTGGGTTCCTTCACTTTGATACTTTATGTACCCTGCAGACACATTGCAGTGTCTTATTTAAATGCACAAATCTTCCCACTGTCATTGGCCAAAGCGGTCTGGCAAATCTGCTGCATGCAGAAAGACATTTCCTGAATGTGGCGAACTCACACAAAAACATTTCTTAGAACTATTTTTCTGCGCTCAAGCAATCCATGTGAAATATCAACTGCTCATTTTGCTGCAGCTTTGATATTCTGTTCTTTCTTTTATTAGTGCACACTGAGTGACTTCATCCACAAGTCAATCCAATGAACAACTCATTTTACCCCCCAAAAGAGCGAACTGTACCCCAGACAGAGGTTCTTAGACTGTTAGTAACCAGATCTCACCCAGAACTAAAAACAGAAATGACCACTAGGGCTGCACAAAATACTAACACTGATCATATGGGTTCATATTGTGATTGCAGTCCACACCGCCTCATTAACAAACTATATATTGTGCAGCCTCACACCCACTTTCCAATGCATAAACCTCCCACATCTCCTTACAAATATTTGGCAAAAACACTTTAGGGGAAAAAAGACTTACCGGTTTCGGCATCTTCACTGTCTCTCAGCCCTTCCCACTTATCCAGAAAAAAAAAGAAAAAGAAAAGAGGGGAAACTCGTCCTCCGTCACAGGATGGCCCAAATCCTCTGGTGCAGGCCCTGAAACAGACAATGTGAGAATGAGGCTCCTCTCTTTCACACATGCACAGTGGCCTATAAGACTAGACTCTTACGAGGACTAAAGAAAAAGGTGTTTTGTTTTGGCAACATCAGCAATCCAGCAACATCTTGAGCAAAACATTTTAAGATAATAGAATAATGAAAGCAAGTAATGTGAAAAAAGTAAGTAAGAGACAAAGACAAAGAAAACACAGTAGAAAAGTAAAGAAAGAAAGAAAAAAAAAGGTGAACATTTAGTTTCTTTCAATACTGCAGGGTTTAAAAGGTCAAGGCCAGGCAAATGTGTGTTTATATAACAATATAGTCTGTAATTTAGTAGCAGACAGTGTCTACATTAGCACTGGAGTGTACTTCACTATGACAAAACAGCACCATTTTAGGGTGGACAGACAGACTAATTTAGAGCTGAATGATTTGGAGAAAATATCATTTAAAATACATCATTAAAAATATACAATTTAAGTATATTTCATATTTTTATTGATTTAAATTGCAATTGTTTTCTATATTTTAAGCAACTGGCCTGTTTAATATTCACTTTCTCTGGCTTGAAGCCTGAATTTGGTTACATATTTGGTTCCATCTGATTGGTCTAACTTTGGGGTGCCTAACCTTTTGCAACTCACAGCCAACATAACTGACCACAAAAGCTGCACGGCCAACAAAAAGATTTAACATATCATTTCAAACATTACATAATAATTAATATCAACTTGACTCTATAATCAACAGCAAAAAAATCTGAAAACAATTGTAGCAATTTACCCAGACAGATGAACAGGAATATAGTTATCCAGCTAGCTATGTCAGTTATGTCTGTCATTGATTCTCCGAGACCAATTACTGAATTCAACCTAAATATTTCTGCAAATAATATCACAAGTGTAACGTGTCATATTTAAAATTTAGTTTTGATTAAATGTCTATAGTAAGAGAGTACAGTCTATAGTAACAATGGCCCCCTAGCAGTACCACCACAACCTAGGGACCACAGGTCGAAAACCACCTGTCTTAACTCATCTACACTCAGTTCTTAGTCATTAAGTTAAATTTCATCACTTAAAATAACGCTGCTAATAATCTTGGGTAAAATGAAAATTGCACCTCTTGACATATGAAAATTGTGCTCATTTGCTATAAAAGCCCTAATCTGTGCTGCACTATGTACAGTTTGACACTGCATCTTTCAGAGCAATGCAGCACAAACTGATTTTATATTTGTAAGCAAAACACTCACATACTTTCATCATCTCTATTAAACATTTGGCAAAAAGAGGGCAACAGAAACAGAACAAACAGCAAAGTATCCAAGCTATTCGTTACTGACGACCTCAATCACAATCACCAAACAGAAGCACATAAGGTTGCCTAAGCATTTACACACAAAACAGCTTAAATTAAGTCTTTAGATCAAATAAATGTTCAAACTCCTTATGCTCCTATGAGGGCCAAACTGATTTACTGTTTAAAAAAATAAAAATAAATTTAAAAATTGGAGAAAATACTGATGATAATAATACAAGTGGCTTGTTGAACAATAACACACTTCTCTATTGTAAGGAAAATACCTAATTTCTGGTTTCATGCTATAACACAGACGAACATGCTGCCCGATTTCTGACTCATTGTTTTACAATAGTTTTGAGATAAACTTTTGGCTTAAAACATTTTATTAAATGGCACAGAGGTACATGCAGGGTGTCGTGAGGAAAAATGGTACCAAAAGAACTTTTCGAGTTGACCACTACTGTACTACGCCAACTTTACACATCAAAACTTAGAAGACGTGTTCACTGATCATACTGATCATATAAAATGGCTATATTGTGTCCCATCACCACCACTGTAAAGGAATTCAAGGCAGTAAGTTTTTCTACATTGAACAATTTCACATTAAACCACTCTAAACCCCTAAATTGTGCAGAAATTTTGACAAAGTTGATCGTTCACTGAAACATACATGATAACCCAAATGCCAAACACCAGTCAGTACAGCACTATCTAACTAAAAGTACTGGAGTTCTGTTTAAATTTTATGGCCTAATGTTATCAGTTATCAGTGGTTGGGCCCTGGTTCCTACATTATTGCTGACAATGCAGGACATGTACAACTGGTTTAGCACCAAGGAGGGTTTCTGATATTTCAGGAAATTGACAGAACAGAAAACTCAGATTTCTCTGTCTCTCACACACACAAGCACAGATCACATTTCAGCAAACACCCTACTGTGCAATTCCATGAGAAGCAGAAAACAATGCTTAATTGAGTTACTGCACTTCTCAAATCGCAACACTTGTACAGTGTTCAACAAGTGGTAAATGCTACTTCACGTGACGAGCTGAATGAAAAATAACACAACACAGTCAGTGGATAAATGCATATTCAAGATAAAAAAGCAGTTTCTCAGTATTTTTCAATGCAAAAAAACACTTTAATATTTACAATTAGCAGGTTTAAAATCAGTTTAGTCACACAAAGACACAGACAATTCATACACAGACTACATATTTTTAGCTTACTAAACATTTATAGGTAGTCCTAGAGGCAATAAAAATATAAAGGTATTGCAATTTGTGGGTAACGGGTAAAACTGATAAGTAAAGGTTAATGCAATATTAAGAGCCATATATACATTACAGACATTATTAGGAGAGAAAATTAGTTTTTAACACACAATCATGGAATCTACTTATATGTTATGTTGATAGTGGTAAAATATCAAAAAAAACTCTCTGCCATAAACAGATTTTTTGTGGAAAAAAAGTACGATTTAGGCCAAAACGTTCTCAAAACTATTGTAAGACAATGTATGAGGCGTAACCACTTCATGCAAAAACTGCGTGGTAGATTTCAGAGGCGTTAAATGTTGTGGACATCTGGTTTCCATCATCACCACTGTAAACAATTCTGACTCATACATTTCTCTAGAACAGAGCACTTCATATCAAACCACTCTGAATGACTTTGTTTACATCTTAAATTGTGAAAAAAATCTCCTGTAATAAAGGTAACAAACTCATGCGTCTTAAGTACTGATACTCTGTCAGGTTTCAATGCTTTATTGCCGTATGAGTCAGTATTTGACTAAGAGGAATTTCTTTCAATGCTGCTCAAACACACAAACAACATACACTCGTACACAAAACATCCATAATCTCAATTAAATAACGTTAACAAATTTAAATAAACAAGATTAAGATTGTGGAGTTCAGAAGTCTGATAACGGGTTGGTAGGTACTGTTACTAAACCAACGTTTTCTACATAAAATGCTTCAAAAGCCGTTTGCAGGAAGGGAGCTTTTTAAAAAGGTACTGTGTTGGGTGTGAGTGATATCGATTTTTATTGCTTTCTTTTCCATCCTTATGGGGTAAATAGAAGCAACAGCTCACACCCAACGATTTTAGAGGAAGCACGCACCACTTTCTTTAGATGCTCTCTCTCTCATCACTGTACTACCATACCAAACACACATGGAGGTCAACACACTTTCCACAACAGCTCTCTAAAAGTGTATCATACAGTCTCTAGGTCACACCAAATTTCTTAAGCTGTCTTATAAAGAAAAGCCTTTGATCAGCTTTCCCCAACAAGACGGCAGCACTGCTCTCCCACTTAAGAGACGAGCTGATGGTGGTCCCCAGAAACCTTAAGGAAGCAACTCTCTCTGCCTCCCCACCATTGATGGTCACAGGTGGTAGGTCCACCTTCTGTCTCCTGAAGTCAACCACAAACTCCTTAGTCTTTTCAAGCCTAGGTTGTTCACCCTGCCCCACTACACTGATGCTCCAACCATGTCCCTGTACGCTGTTTTATCATCCTTACAAACCTGACATCTCACACTGCAGTTTACGATCAAGGGCAGCAGGGGTCAACAATGATTTACTGCCCTGAACAGAGTTTATGCTGACCCAGAAAAACATTTGCTTTCAAATATAAATAAGTACACATACACAAATCTCTTCATAGCCATCAACTTATTCTTCTTGAATAAATATTCTGATTTAACCCCATTTAATTGCACCATTTACCTCTGTTAAAACAATTTTGTCCATGACATACAGATGTTTGAATATTAAAGCAAATAAAGGCAATATGAAGTACGTTTTGACTGTCATTAGTAAGCGATTTTCACCGCTATTGTCCCAAACCACTGCATAGCTAAACACAAACTTTAGCAAACAGTAAAACACAATACTGACCGAAAGAATCTGAAACAGCAAAAACAAGTTAATGTTAGCAAAAACAGAGCAACTGGTCCCTTTTAATCCCTTTTCATGTCTTCAACTCTTTCAACAGCTAAAGTCAGATTCTTTTTCACCAGGTTTTTGCTCGAATTTTCCTGTTCCACCTTAAATGGTGCAGCAGTAACATTCTGGTGACTGATGCTAGTGTAAGCATTGAAATAACTGGAGCCTATGCAACCAGCACAGCTGACAGGACATAACAGTCCTCCTCCTTCACAAATGGGTTTCTGACTGCACTAAAAAATTTGCCTATTTGCCAACTTCTTGTTCGAATTTTTTCGTTCCACCTTAAATGGTGCAGCAGTTACATTCTGGCGCCTCAGGCGAAATATGGCTCATATTCTTTACGCCACTGATCAGCTCTTAGATCAGCTAAGTTAGAGAAACATCAGCCGATCACATATTTGAGCTTAAAATCAGCAGATACTGATACATAGTCGATCAATCCTTCCATCTCCAAATTACACAACTATTAAAGCTTCATATCATGGATATAATGCTCAAATAATACCTAATAAATTGCTAACCTCTTATGCTCGTGGGTATTTTTTGTTTTTTCCATCTGAATTTACATGACCAAGGCAAATTATTCAGCAACTGCATGAAATAAATGTAAAGTGTGAAAGCTCCCCTCAAATTAACAGAAAATGTGTTTTATGGTCATATTGCTATATGCTTAC